GAAAAAAAAAATCAATTGAATGTTAGTCATTGAATTTCTTTGTATAGTTTCTTTTTTATTCATTGAATTCATTAATATATTAATGCAACCTTTAAAATATTTATAGCCCCAATTAAATAATAACTTAATGGATGAATTATAATGTAAAGCATGAAGATTAAAAATTACTCTGTTGATGAAAATAAAAATTCATTGCATGAATTAAATTATGAAGATTAATAAGGAATTTATTAATGAAAAATAAAAATTGATTCGTCGGTGGAAAATAAAATTTGTAAGAACAAAATGGTTAATTGAATTGTAAGTCACTGATTTTGTTTTTTTTTGTTTTTAATATAATTGAATGTTAGTTTCACTCCTTATATTAATTCCAATCCAAAATGATAAATATCAATTAGATATTTCATTCCTTATATTATATTAATTCTAAACCAAATAATAATTAATAATTAAATTGGCATTCCAGTTATGAGGGTATAGTGGGCATATAGTTAAATATGTAGGGGTAAATTTGGTATTTAAAAGTTTTTTCACCATCCCCACTTTTAATATATTATAGATGAATAAATTCATTTAAAATTTTAAGATGTTATATAGAGAGAGAACACATTTATGCATGTTTTGTAGTAATTTTTCTCCAAAAAAATCAATTTTTTTTACCGTTATTTCAATATTTCACTTGTCATTTTGACTTCTTCACTCACAAATGAGACATACTTTTCTCTCTAACGATTAAAAAATCAATTCTCATAATTACTACCAAACAAGCCCTTAGAATATGTTTAGTTAAAAAATTGGGAAAATGCTATTTAGGGAAGTTTTACAGACTGGGTTACAAGTGATGACGTGACAGAATTTTACTGGTTGTTGGAAAATAAAGTTAAATCAACTAATGAAATTGTTGCATCACCACCTATAACCAGTTGGTAAAAAATTTCGGTCACTATTTGTATTTGAGTAACTTTTTAATGTCAACTTAACCTTTGACGAGATACACAAAGTCAAACAACTACATTAATGACCTTCTAACCTCTTATTTGTCTACCATTAAATTTATGGATTATATTACTTGTACATAAAAATAATGCATAAGGATTTACATAAGATGATGTGCAGGAAAAAAATTAGGTAAAAAGTTGACTATGTTTTAAACTGACAAATGATAAAGTCAGTGACGAATCCAGGAGCTTGACCCAGCACGGGCGGTCATTGACCGTCTATCGTCAACCGCAATTAAATATTAGGAGCCCGTTTGATACCTCTTTTTTTGGAAAAAATGCATTTCGAAATAATGTTTCGATATAGAATGTGTAGCTGAAAATAAAGAAAAATTTTGAATTTGCGTATAATATTATTTTATTGAAGAATGTGTGGTTGAAAAGAAGAGAAAATGTACTTTGAAATAAAAAATAGGAATCAAACAAGGCCTAAAGTTTAAATATAACAATTATTTTGTTCAAATTGAACATATATAATTTTGTTATAAAAATAAATCGGACTCATCAAATGACATTGTTGCCAAGTTTTATATAATTCAAAGGAATAGCACCGGTTCGAATTTTTACAATTTTACTTGCATTAAAACTAGATGAAATCTATCAAATAAAATTTTGTTAAAAAATTACCAACTTTAAGCAAGTGTTGCAATGGTTAAGTTTGTAATTCCTCTCACATAAGGTCATGAGTTCGAGATCCCTTAGGTTCCCTTCCTGTTGCTTTTTGGTAAAAAGTGTAGAATAAAAAAATTTCACAATAAATGTGCAGGTAAGGAAACTCGAACCTGCAACTTCCAATTTATGCATGCGGGCTCTAACCACATGAGCTAGAAGGCATATTTGAGTATAAAATGATTTACCAGTTATATAACCTAAAAATTAAACCTGTCTTAAACAGAAAAAAGTGCTCTCGACGGATCCAGTACAGGCGGCCGCTGGGGCTCGCTAGGTGCTGAATTCGCCATTGGATAAAGTGACATGTAGCATTATGTAATTTATTATGTAAAGTTTGATGTACATGTAACAATGTCTTAATTTTATTAGGCGTAATAACTAACTCTACCTAGCTTTTGTGTATTCTTCATGTTTAGACAACAAAACAAGGAAAGCGAGTGGCAAGAGAACTGTTTTAACACTTAAATTAGTGCGAAGTTAATAGAGAAACAGTTGAATTTTTATGCTACTCATTGTATCATGGGAATATTTCTAATACATTTCGGTAACATGCTCCTAACTATATATTTAGAGCTCTATTTGTCAATGTCTTTAACTATTAACTTAAACTTCCACAGTTCTTAAGATAGAGATTGGAAATTAAAAAATCAGATTCGCATATTTGAACAATGGGTGCTTCTTCCATAAACACACAACTTAAACTGTAAGCCTCTGTTTGAGCCCATTTTTCAGAAGTGCATTTTCCTCAAAATTTATTTTTACACATTTTTCAATAAAATAATTTTCCACGTAGATAATAAGTTTTTCCTTACTTTTTAACGACGAACTGGTTGAGATGATGAGAGTGAAAATCATCAATGAATAGATGATTGACCACCGAAACCGTACAGCTCAGTGACTTTCTCCGCCTCAGAGGCAGATGGATCAAGGACCTGCGGCACACCTCGTCACCTAGCAATGGGCCTAGGCAGGTCACACAGTAGCTCCCACATCCGAACAGAAATTGGCTTCAGCCACTCTGAATGCAGTGCCAGTGCTGGCATATGAAAATGCTCTTGCTGAAATAGGGCCATCCGGGAGAACAAATAACCGATGCAAGAAGAAGAAGCAGGCAAACAAGTCCCTGGAAGGGGCAAAGTTGTGCATAGATTTCACCAACTCTATGGCCATGACATCAATGAATATAGAGATGCACCTCGGTCCTCAAATCGAAGCAACTCACGCTCCTCCAAGAGGGACCATTATCATGAACACTCCCACAGGTCCACCACTCCCAACAGGGAGTCGAGGCGACAACAGGATCAATCACCTCAAAGGAGAGATATAAGAGATAGATCTTGAGGAGAATCCAAGCAAAGGAATCAGGCCCTAGCCACAGGAGGTGATACTATCCGTGAGATTGATACAATCATTGGGGGACCCCACATTGGGGACACTACTAGAAATGCCCTAAAGGACTACACAAGGGAAGCGAAAGACCTACCAATAATCACGTATATCGTCAACCAGTCCTATACTAACAGAATGGATCCAATCACCTTCTCCTAGAAGATTCGCAAGGTGTTCATCACCCACACTGCGATGCGTTGGTAGTAAGGGTCGTTGTGGCTCAGAACGGACTTAAGCACATGCTGGTTGACAATGAAATCTCGGTGAATATACTGTTCAGATCAACCTTTGATAAAATGCAAATTGAGCATGACTTAGTTTCCATGACCGACCCAATATTTGGATTCACTGGGGATAGCATCATCCCACGAGGACGAATTACTTTGCCCATTGATGGGATCAGCACCCCTAGTGGCTCATCACTTCATGAAATTTTTAGTGGTGGATCATAGGCCGGCTTACCACGGGGTACTCGGCCGACCTGCACTGAAGGACCTTTGGGTTGTAACCTCTATTCACCACTTATGTATGAAATTCCCAACTGAGCATGGGATCGCGACGGTCCGAGGCGACCAGATGGGCTCAAAATCATGTTATCTCAACTCCCTATGAAAATCTGAGCTCTGCACTGTGAATGTGATAATCGATGCAACAAATGAAGTCAACACGGATATAGAGATACTTGACACCCCTGAACAAAGGCAAATCCTCGAAGAGGAGGAAGACGTCGACATGATCGAAGCCCCTGAAGAAGGGTACCCTCTTGATGAATTAGACTCTCGGATCATCGAATCTGAGCTAAATGCAACTCCTCTAGAAGAGCTCGAGACTTTTCTTGCCAACTCCCAATATCCCAATCAGGTCTTGCAAATAGGGAAAGCTTTGCCCCCTAAGACGAAAGAAGATCTGATGAATTTCCTGAAAAGGAATTTGGATGTCTTCGTAGGAAGCATGAAGACATGGTGGGAATAGATCCAAGGGTCAGCTGCCAACACTTGAACATCAACCCCACTTGCACATCGCATCGACAAAAGATGCGAGCACTCAACCCAGAAAGATATGAGGTGCTGAAGGAAGAGGTCGACAAGCTAAGTCACAACGGCTTCATCAGAGAAGCCATTTATCCGAAGTGGATATCCAACCCAGTGCTTGTAAAGAAGTCCAGTGGGAAATGGAAGATGTGCGTTGACTTCACCAACATGAACAAAGCTTGCCTAAAGGACAACTTTCCCCTCCCAAGGATAGAACAACTAGTGGACTCCACCACTGGACACGAACTTCTGAACTTCATGGATGCTTATTCAGGGTATAACCAAATACCCATGTTTCGACCTGATGAAGAGGCCACATCTTTCATCACAAACCGAGGATTGTACTGCTACAAAGTGATGCCGTTCGGATTAAAAAATGCCAGCGCCACATACCAAAGGTTAGTCAACATGATGTTCGCCGACCTCATTGGTAAAACCATGGAAGTCTGCGTTGATGATATGCTAGTCAAAAGCCTCCACGTAGGGGATAACGTAAGTCACTTGGACACCACTTTTCAAATTCTAAAGAAATATAAAATAAAGCTGAACCCGTTGAAGAGCAAACCTCGAGAAGATAAAAGCCTTGTTAAAGATGAAGTCACCCCAGAATCCAAAAGAGGTACAAAGCCTCAAAGCCACTGATAAGAGCCCACACTTCTTCAAGATTCTGAAGCAGGGAAGGAAGTTCCAATGGACCAAAGAATGTGAGGTAGCCTTCCAAGTGTTGAAGAAGCACTTGGGAGAGGCATCCCTACCGTCTAAACCTAAACCGCGCAAGACACTCCTACTTTATTTGGCAGTTTCGGACGAGGCAGTCAGTGTGGTACTCGCCAGGGAAGAAGAGGCACGCTAGCTACCAGTATACTACATCAACAAAGCCTTGCTGCCGACAGAGACCCACTACCCAGACATGGAAAAGCTTGCTCTCCCCCTTATTCTCGCATCAAGAAAGTTGAGGCTATACTTTCAGGCCTATTCAATTGAAGTACTCACCAACTTTCCACTGAAACAAGTGCTATAGAAAATAGACGCTTCGAGTCGATTACTAAAATGGGCAATTGAGCTTAGTGAGTTCGACCAACTGTTTAAATCCCAAAGTGCCATCAAGGGCCAGGCCCTCATGGATTTCGTTGCCGAGTTTGCCAAAGCCATGGAAATGGAGGCAACAATGGATTCAGTAGAGCCCCCAACTTGGAAGCTATTTGTCGACGGATCATCAAGATAAAGCGACTCTAGAGCCGGAGTCGTCCTGGAGAGCCCGGAGGGCCATAAGGTAAACTGCGCAATCAGGTTCGATTTCAAAGCCTCGAACAATGCCGCAGAGTATGAAGCCCTCTTGGCAGGCCTCAGGCTGGCTAAAGAAATGCAAGTTGAAAGATTACAAGCCAGTAGCGACTCACAACTTGTAGTGGGTCAGGTCAATGGAAAATTCACAGCTAAAGACTGTGGCATGGCCACTTATCTGAGACTAGTTTTGACCTAGTCCCCCACTTTGAGAGGTTCGAACTGGTCCAAGTCCTACGCTTTGAAAATATACACGTGGACGCCTTGTCTAAACTTGCCAGCAACAAGGATTCTGAGCTATTAAGAATCATTGCAATTAAGCATCTGTCGAAGCGCTCCATCTTCAGAGGTGAAGAAGTAATGTGGATAGAAGGTACCCCACCTTGGACGCAACCCATCATAGCCTATCTCAAAGATCAATCGCTACCACCTTCAAAGAGCGAAGCAAAGAAGTTGAGAAGAAGAGATATTCACTTCATACATCAAAATGGCATGTTATATAAAAGAGGCTTCTCATCGCCCATACTCCGATGCGATGGAGGGAAGGAGGCCGTGTACATCATGAGAGAAATTCATAAGGGAGTTTGCGGTAACCACTCTAGTGTAGCAGCCCTGACACACAAGGTACTTCGACAAGGTTATTTCTGGCCGAACATGAAAAAGGACTTCTATCAATTTGTTCAAAAATGTGACAAGTGTCAGCGGTTCACCAATGTTCAGAGACAGCCTTTTCAGGAACTCTCCGTGGTCACTAGCCTATAACACTTCGTCAAATGGGATATAGACTTCATTAGCCTCCTCTCAAAAGGAAAAGGAAGTGCAACCTTTGCTGTTGTTGCCATTGATTACTTTACTGAATGGGTCGAAGTTGAACCTTTAGCAAAAATCATTGAGGCGAACACCACAAAGTTTGTCTAGAAGAACATCATTTGCAGGTTCGACATCCCCACTTTTTATTGTCCAATAACAAAAGGCAGTTCGATAACAAGAAGATGCAAGACTTGTGTGACAAACTCAACATAAGAAAGGACTTCTCAATGCCTCATCACCCCAAGCAAATGGACAAGTCGAGATAGTCAACAAAACGATCAAGCACACCTTCAAAAGGAAGCTTGACGCCTCGAAAGGAGCACGGGTCGATGAACTTCCCCATGTCCTCTGGGCCATATGAATAACAGGTCGAACCGCAACAGGGAAAATGCCTTTCTCTATGACTTATGAAGCCGAGGCCATGAGTCCAGTCGAGGTAGGAGTCCCTTCGCATTGTCGTATAAACTTCAATGAGATCAACGACGACGAAGCGAGGGTGTACAAACTCCATCTCCTGGAAGAAAGAAGAGATTCATCCCAAGTCAAACTGGCTGTGTACCAAAGGAAGATGACCCGCTATTACAACTCGAGGGTCAGGAGCCTGACTCTACGCTTAGGCAATCTGGTACTTAGAAGGGTGTTCCCATCATCAAAATCAACAGGCTCTGGAATGTTTAGACCGAATTGGGAAGGCCCGTACCACATCATCAAAGAGTCCCCAACCGGGATTTATGAAATTGAAGATATGGCTGGAAAAGTGTTGCTTCATCAGTGGAACATTGAATACTTAAGGAAGTACTACCAGTAAATAAATGCATGTTCCGATCTGACCTGATTATGATCGACAAATATTAAATTATTCCTATCTGACTAAGCGCTTGGATTGTCTTAGTGTATGATTGTTGAGTTCAAGTATTTGAATCTTCAGTTCGTTATATTCTATAGATTGTCATTGTTGGCCTCAACCGCTTATTGATGGTTAGTAATATTGACTAAAGCAGCGATCAAATTATAATAGAACAAATAGTTCAGCATAGATAAAAGAGGCTTCAACACTTGGGAATAAACTTCAATTCATTAATATCAAAAAGATTACAAGAGTTGGGCTGAAGCCGTTACAATAAGAGCCCTAATCTATTGGCACTATGGCCTTATTCCCCACTTTCACCACCTCCTGGGGAGCCTCGGTAGCTTCCTCTGTAGATGCGATGTCTGGGCGACCTCCAGTAGGTCCACCAAACTCCGCCTCAAGAACAAAAGTTCCAATGTTGGATGAACCTCCTTTAGCCGCTCCATCATCGCTTGGGCATTCTAGGAGGCCTAATAGTTGGCGAAGGTGTCATATAAAGGATGCTCCTCAAAGTGGTCAATGAAGTGTTGCACAGCTAACTCACCGACCACCTTCGCCTCAACCTTCAATGACTCAATCTCCTCCACTTGGGCCTCTACCCTCTGCCTCAGCTCAGCCTTCTCTTTGTTCGAGGCCTCTAGAGCCTCCGTAACCAAACGGTGGTGCTCTTTGGCGTGATCAAGTAGCCTCGTTAAAGCAGCCACTGGCTCTCTGTCTTGTAGAGCTCCTTCCTCAACCTCTCAACATCAGAGTTAGCCCTTCCCAACTGACTATCCATCTCTGTCATCTTCCTCTCCGTCTCAGCTATCTTGGCCTCTGCCTCCCGCACCGCTTCTCTATACAGCAAGTTCGCTTCTGATCGCTTGGCCAGATCAACATTTTTAGCCTTGAGGTCCTTCACCAAGGCCTCAAGTTGAACATTGGTGCTCAGGGCTCGGGCGAGGCACGCAGTGTTGGCAGAAACTAGGTCCTCCGCAGTACAAGAGGCAGTATGATCCCTCCATGCTTCGGTCCAATATTTATTGTGGGCCACCGCCATTGCTACTGTTTCAAAAGGGAGAGCCTCCAACACCTCCTCCTCATTACGGCCTAAGAAATCCACCTCTTTTTCTAGACGAGACCTTTTCCTCTTCTGCTGATCGAGCTGCTGTGCTAAAGGTGCTGCAGGAATTGGGGTCGAAGTGGTGGCAACCGGACAAACCTCAGGCGGTGGAGCAACCCTTTCTCTGATTACGACCCCAGTTGGGATTGTCTCCTGGTGCGTGGCAGTCATCGCCACAGTAGGGCCTTTGGATCGTTTTCCCTTCTTCAACATGAGAGCCTCGACCTCTTTCTCTTCCTTTTTTACCACGGCGGGCTGAAGCTTTTTGCTCGCCACGACCAGATCCTTAGTCTACTTTTTGTACGCAGAAGAACATGTCTTCAGTGCCCGAACTTCAGCCATCATCTTCTGGATGGTCTTAAAGTCGAGTTTTAGAGGCCTCTTCTTATTGAAGTCATCTGCAATAAAACAAAAAATCAATCAAGTATGAACACTTCGACCATAGACTATAATGATGTAACCTTTACACTCACCCTGGGAGGCCATCAGTTTGTGCTCCACAAAATAGATATTCTTCCTTATCAACTCGTTATAGGATCTCCTCTTCAGAAGAAGCTGATATACGATGCAAATAGTGTCGAAGTCTTCCGTAGACAACTCACACCGAAGAAGCGTACTTGCATGAAATAGACAAGTTAAATGCCGGACTGAAAGGGATAGATATGCAAGTAAATATGGAGTTTCAGTACTCAATGAGAGTTAAGTTTTTTGTTGGCGCTATCAGGGGCACCAGGGGATCTCCCTCCATCATATCCTACCTCCCTGAAGCTCAGCACCACAAACTCTTCCAGTCTTTTATGGAGCTCGACAGGTCGAAAATGAATGGAGTATGGGCCCCCAAGAGGTCAAGTAATACCACCCCTTCGTTTTATCCCCCCGCTGCAACCTTAGGTATATACGTGGTTTGGAATACGGATAAGGGCATCTCCACCCCGTAAAATGCATACTTCCACAACATCCACGAACCCACCATTCGGCTCCAAAAGTTCGGGTTAACTGAGTAGGGGCTAGGCCATAGGACCTCAACACATACCTAAAGAAGGGGTGAATTGGTAGCTTGAGCCCCGCCCTGGGGTAGTAGGCTCGCTCATTTGTCCCTTGCAATATGAGACCTATACTATTCGAAAAACTATACTCAATCCTAAGTCTGGCCAGGTCGATCGATTTTAATTTTGAAGAATAGTCAGACGCCCCCAATGCTCTGAAGTGTCTACAGGACTATCTGGTCGTCTCCAGATATTCTCTCCATATAATTGCCTCGAAAATCTCAACCGCAGTGATCAAAATGAGCTCATCTACCCTAACAACCTTCAGGTCCCCTCTAGAACACCCACTATCCTCAGAGGCCATATTTTTCAGTAAAAATTGTGAAAAACTCAAGAATACTTACGAAAGTCGACTGGAATTAGTGTCCTAACGCTGGAAAGCTCAAACCAACACCTTAAAGTCATTGAAAATCATTAAAAAACTCGAGAGTCATCGAAAATTGCTAAAGAGTTTGACAACAATAGGGAGTTTGAGTCTGTAAAAGTGAAAACATTCGAATGGCAATAAGGCCCCCTTTTATAGGGGACCTCAGACGATCCCCAACGTTGAATTCAAATGATGTCGATCTAGGCCGTTCATCTTATCACGAATCTGGTCCGTTGAAATGAAACGCCAGATTTAATCAGTGCCCAAGATCTCCCCGTGCCCCTCACGCACGCATGAAATGCGTTGTCTCGAACAACAACAACCGTCAACAATAAGTAGTCGTAGCAGCCCTTTTCTGGGAACAGGCATCACATTCAACTATGGTCTTGGAAATATGTAACAACTGCCACATCGATTAACGTTATAATAAGGCACTTCGGATCAAAGTCAATCTGTTCTACTTCGTCTCGAACACATCGTTTCTAAGTTTCACAAAGCCTAAGCTATCTCTCAATGCGTCGTTCCTTGTGGGTCAATGCACTGATAGCAGATACGCTTCTTTCTCAGCTTTACAGAGCTTCAACGCACCTGATGTCAAGTCCTCTATGGGTCTTTACCTCGGACGAAGCGTTTCTAAGCTTTACAAAGCCTATCTCCCAACGCGTCGTCCCCTATGGGTCAACGCTCCTGTAGCAGATACTCTTCTTCCTTAACTTTACAGAGCTTCAACGCACCTGATGTCAGTCCCCTATGGGTCTTTGCCTCGGACACAACATTTCCAAGCTTACAAAGCTTTGGCCATTTCCCGACGCGTCGTCCCCTGCTGATCAACTCAGCAGCTGCAAATGAGCTCCTTTCACATTCAACATAATGATTGATACGCCTCAAGCGAAAGGTAACTGCCCTTCACGAATTAACGAAGTACTGACCAAGACAGCCCCTACCAACATCGCCTCGGTTTAACAATACCCTCTAGCCACAAAGCATTCGACACATTAACTCGCTTCGCCCTTTAGTGTTAACACTTACCAGATACTGCAAATCCCCTCTTAAGGTCAACATAATCGAATAAACAAGTCCACCAATGATATGAATATTCATGCCTGAACTTGAGGGGACCACTGTTACACCATGCACCAAACCACTTTGAAAATCCTGTCCCTCTCCTTTACGAGGTGCCATGTGTCCCTACAAAATGGTTCCGAAGTGATATCAACTTCGATCGAACTCTAACTTGACGCACTATAAGGCATACACTTAATAAACTAAATCTACTGAATCAATCGAGCGCCCCCTTGCAATCGAAGCGTTTGGCTCTCCAAAGTGTTCCCATAACAGATATCTCCACCGTCAGTTTCAGAAGCATATCTATGACAGGATCCTCCATGGATGTGACATCTCCATGGGTCTAGTTGATGTGACATCAACTTTATGTCAACTCAATTTAGAAAAATTAATAACCCGTCCACTCTAGACGCGGTTGATTGAGGCCTACGAGCAGACGTCTCACACCGTCAAATACATACACGTGTCCCACATCCAACAGTGCTCCTCGCCTATAGATAGTCAAGGTTTGGCAAGAAACAA